ATAAACTACGACTATCCAAACAGCTCTGAGGATTATGTGCACCGAATCGGCCGCACTGCCCGTAGCACCAACAAGGGCACTGCCTACACATTCTTCACACCGGGGAACCTGAAACAGGCCAGGGAGCTGATCAAAGTGTTGGAGGAAGCCAACCAGGCCATCAATCCGAAACTGATGCAGCTCGTGGACCACAGAGGAGGAGGTGGTGGTGGTGGAGGTAAAGGCAAATGGGAAGGGGTTAGAAAGATGGAATAGGTGCTCCATCTTGAAGGAGGATAGGTGTAAAGAGGCAGAGCAAAACACCTTCATAATTAAACCATCTCAACATCAGACTGCTGCTGTCTGGCTTATTATATGTAGATTTACAGTAATATTTGATATAAAATCTATTAATTTGGGGCATACATACCCAACTTAGGGTCCTTCTAGCTAACTGAAGGAGGCCGTTCAGTGTTTTAATCATAGCCATAGGATTTCTTTCCTCAGCAACAGTGTCCTGCAGAGAATGGCCTCTGTGAATTGGTAAAATAGTTTTATTTCCTGTAGCCATGTCCTGCTTCCCACCTAATTGAACCACTGTTAGTAGTCTGATACATTCTCCCTTCTTACAGGGTGGAGTACTGCCTCCCAGCCCACAAGGAAACAAATGAAATTTGACCAAGTCAGTTTTAAGTCAGTGCTATATTTCTTCCAGTGTGTTTCTGTTCTGCTCTCTCTCATATCTTGGGGTAGATCAGGATTTGAATTTAGTATCCACAGTTGGGAAAAAAGAAGGCAAAGTTGTGCAGGAATATTTGCAACCCAGTCAATTGAAAATGTTGTTACTTACGGCCTCTGGCCCTGTTGTCATGGGACTGTTGACTTTAGTGGTGAGGGAGTAATTAAAACCATTGCGAGAATTCAGTGCTTTATAGACCTTTCTTATTTGAGTTACCCACAGTACTGAAACCCACTGTATTCACTACCAGGAGGTCGTTCTCGTTACCGTACTGCTGCCAGTTCAGCCAACAATCCTAACCTGATGTACCAGGATGAGTGTGAACGGAGGCTCCGGGGAGTAAAAGATGGCCGGAGAGACCGTGACCGTGGCGACAGTTTTGCCAATGGAGCCAACAAAACCTATGGCAGTGCTTATGGAAGTCCGAATTCCACCTTTGGGGCGCAGCAGAGCCAATATGGCTACGCCCAAGGGAGCTATGGAGCAGCTGCCTATGGCACAAGTGGTTATGGCGCCGCCGAATACAATGCTACTGGCTATGCTGCCACTAGCACTGCCACCGCTGGGAGAACCGCTCAAACCGCCGCCCAGCCACAGTATGCAGGGATAGCTCGCTCAGGCCAGCAGCCGCAGCCTCTCATGTCACAACAGTTTCCTCAGCCTCCGGCCACTAACATGATAGGCTACATGGGACAGACTGCCACATACCAGTATCCACCCCCCCCTCCACCCCCTCCTCCTTCACGCAAATGAGACCACTTGGCTGCTGGTGACCAGTCTAGACTTCTTGCATTTAAAGGAAACTTTTTTCTTTCTTTCTTCTCGTTCTTTCTTCCCCCACTTTGTTGTCTTTCTCAAGCAGGTTAGATTTAGCATTCACCATCCCAATTCCTCCTTCCCACCAAAAATGGCCCCCCAGTCCACAATTACTTATCTTGTGGGTTTTTAACTATATATATATCTATACATACACACACAGAGAAACACACACAATTGACTGGAAATTTTTTGGGGGGGGGTTGTTGGTTTTTTTTTTTGTTTGTTTCGTTTTTTTTGGTTTTTTTTGGTCTTGCATGGTGAGGAAATTGGAACGACTTTTTATTTTCTCTTAAAAGAAAATAGATATAAAGCAGATAAGTCCCAGCCCAATCTTTTTGGGGTCTGAGGTTTGTGTGTGAAAACTTACTGCAGAGCCAGGGAGGCCTCTGTACTATAACATGCTAACTTAATTTCGGGAGGTATTGAGAGGTGGGGAATTCTGGGGATTCAAGGCACGCTTCCTTTAACATAATAAATCCAAGGGAGCAGTGTTCATTTGTTTTCTAGATTTGAGATTTTTTTTTTAAATAACTGAATATTGATGCTTGTACTCTGGCATAAGTAAACTTCTAAGGAAAACTCTTGCTTGTTTGGCTCAGTTTGGAGGCATTCTGAGTGTTGCCCCACAGATAGTGTAAAACTGTTCTGGTTGGCATTTTTGTAGCTCCTGATTGCAGCAGCTTCCTTCTGAAGTAAGTTCTATGATCTGTGGTAAGGAGAAGGGGAATAAAGCCCCAGTGTCAGAGACCAGAAACCTGTTTTCATTTGGTGTCTCAAACCCCAGATCTAATCACTGTAAGAACTTCTGTTAAAATATAACATCTATTTGAAATATTTACCATTGAAGTACTTTCCCAATGATTGTTAAATTGCAGGAATGGATGGAATCTGCAGATGGATGGAAGCTGGTTACTGACTTCTTAAATCAGCTTCTGCCCTCAAATTTCCATTGCTGGGATCACCAAGATAACTATTCAGTAGAAGGCACAGAAACACTGACCAGAATTAAGATGATGATCAGTACTGTTTGTGTATATTCTTAGTGAGCAAAGCACCTGGTCATGGGGAGTGTTCAGAATGCGGCTGTGCTGAGTGAAATGTAGCAAAGTTTTCCCACTTAAAACTTACTGGGATTTGGGGGGGGGGGGGGAGGCGCAACTGGAAACCCCTCTTCATGAGGTGAGGAGAGAGCTGGTTAGTGTCCTGATTCTGAAGCTGCTTTTCCTTCATACGCTGGACTGCCTAGTGTTTTCCCTGGCATTTCCCCTGCCCCGGCAGTCCCTTTTGAGCTCAGCCCTTGCAGGTAGGTAGCATTCTAGGAAATGTTAGAAAAAAGTGGAAATTTAGTAAACATTTTAATTCAATCTTGTTTATTCTACAGGCTAAGGTAGGTGTGGGGGTGTTCCCCTTTAAATAGTAAAGTGTGTCTACTTTGTGATTGCCATGAGGAGACGGTTCTGGGGCAGTAGATCATAGTGAGAGTTGGCTGCTCTTGTATTCGGTTAACTTGGCAGGAAATCAGAGCCATATACCGATGTTGCAAGGCATAATCCTTGCATTACAAGAGTTTGTTGTGATTTTATTTTCTATTGCGGGAGTCTGTAGTAGTCACAAACAAGGCATCTCAACCCTTCTGAAAGGCAGCCCAAACCTTCTGTAGGAGAGCAGAACATTTGATGGCTGCGGGAGAGAGGGCTTGCTTAAAAAAAGCTTTTTTTTAAGACATCTTCCCCTTAGGACATAGTATGAGGGGTGGGATGAATATATGGTTTGTGTACAGCGTACAGGTAGGTTATCAGCACAATGTCAGGGGGACAGCTAACTCCCTTAACACCCCCATCTTTCTTACGTTGAGGCTATTTTAAAAAATTAACTAGTACTTTGGCAAGAAATGTTTGTGCTTGTGTGTTTAAATGATGGCCACAAATGAACTCTTACTGTCCCAGCACTGACTGATCTGTTGTCTTTTATCTCCCCCACAAGCAAGCGTGGAGCTATTCTTCATTTGTGAGTTTCTGTGGGCGTGGAAGGGCATGGGGTGGGACACACTGCCTAGCTGGCTTTAAAAAGGGTCTCTGGAAAGCCAAAACTGCCTTGTAGTGTGCTGTAGCTTTCACTTCTTCCTTCAGGGACTTGGGTAGATGTAAAACAGCTATCCTGAGGTCTTGCAATTCTTTATTGTAACTTTGTCAGCTGCAGTCCAGTCTCTCTCATGCCCAACTTGAATGTTAACTTGATTGTTGAATGCACAGTAGCATGTGCCTGCCCCCTGTCTCACCTGGTGCTTGCTGTTCTGTTCCATATACCAGCTAAAGAGCCCTTGTTGATACAGTGTTAACATCTATTAATGTTTGCATTGTTCTCAATCTGTAAGTGTTTGTGGGAGTGTCAGATGAGTCTGGCATCTCCTCCCTTCCCACTTCCTGAAACAACAGTACTGTGTGGATTTCTCTCAACAACTGAAGGGTTAGTGGCTTTTGTGGGGGATCAGTGCTCTGTTTCACACCTTTGCTGGTCTCTGGACACATTCCTGTTGTATTAACGAAGACTTGAATTGAGAGATTCATAAATTTGTGATGTTCAGACAGGATGCTAAGAGCTATGTTACTATTCTTAGTTTGTAAATTGTCCTTTTGATACCATCTTGTTTTCTTTTGTAGGTATAAATAAAAACAGTCAATAAAATATGAGCACTTATTTTTGTTTCTAGACCATAAATGGTTTTACCCCCATTCGCCACTTACCTCTCTTTTATATAACAAAAAATAATCCAGGGAATAGTCATGTCTGTCAGCAACCAAATATATTTTAATAAAAATGCTCGCTATCTGTAGAACATCAGGGATTGTGATCGAAAGGGGTTGATTAGAGCAGAATGTTTGAATATTTACAATATTGAAAGATCTTCAGATGTAATCCTTGCCGTTTTAATGGAAGGATGTTCCCTTAAAAATATTACAGGGCCTGGATAGACTGGGATATGGGCACTTGCACCTCTTGATTGCCAGTTCATAGTGGCTTAAGTGTCAATAATCACATAGCTGCAAGAACACTGCAAACAAATCGCAGTAATTGCAAGTGGTCTGTCTGCCCCTGGTTTCCCAGTATGAAATCGACTGGTGGTTTTTTGGTGTTTTGGGTACCTGTTTGCTAAGAACTGAGCAACTGTTTTACAGCTGGCAGTCTTGGAAAGACTGAAAAATAGCTGTGGAAAACAAACTTTCACTCCTTGAGGTGATCCCTTAAAGGGTCAGGTTTGAGGCAGATTTTGGAAGTGGCTGGGGGGAGGAAAAGAGAGGAGAGAGAATAAAGCTTGCACTTATGGATCTACTATGAGGATAAAGAAAAGGAGTATTTGTGGCACCTTAGAGACTAACCAATTTATTTGAGCATAAGCTTTCGTGAGCTACAGCTCACTCCATCAGATGTAGTGCATCTGATGAAGTGAGCTGTAGCTCACGAAAGCTTATGCTCAAATAAATTGGTTAGTCTCTAAGGTGCCACAAGGACTCCTTTTCTTTTTGCGGATACAGACTAACACAGCTGTTACTCTGAAAACTGAGGATAGAGGACTTCAGTCGCTAGCCAGAACCATTCACCAGTACAAAATTCACTTCAGCAAAAACACTAGCAGACATTTTAAGGAAAAGCCCTAAGCAGATCAAGAGCTTATCAGCCATCCAAGCCTCACTATATTACTGGTGCTGAGTTGAGATTCTTAGCTGAGCCACTTTTGTCGATGGGGCAGAAGAAGAAAGCTGTGACCTTGGAACTGCATCTGCAGGAACTTCTTGTGTTGTGTGGTGCTGTTTTCAGACTGGCATTGGGAGACTTAGCTTCTTTCCCTTCAGGACTGTGCAAGGAGAGGAAGAAAGCATAATGAATGAAATTTGAGGAAATTCACCGTTTCCCAGTAAAGTCCCTGTGACTGCTCTCTAAAGCATAACATTGTCATCTGCAAGGTTAACAGCTCACAACTAATTAGAATGGGCATCACCAAGAGATTATTGGTGGCAGAGGTGTGCCAAGGAGAGAGTTACTTTTAAGCCTCACAGGACTATTGCAGGTAGAGCATCCTTAACATCACCTTGTTAGTTATTCACTAGGACAGCTGTAGAGCATGCTTATCTTCAAGAGCCAAATGCCTTGTCCTGAGTCTAGTGCCAAATGCTAACACCACCAGAGGATATAACCTTTATTGCCAAGTTCTTGGATGTCACCCTTCCTCAGGGTCTTGAAGAATTGTGCAGGCTTAGTGGGATTAATGTGTGCAAAACTGAGGAGCTTTGGGAAGAGGAGGGAGTCATTCATATTCAGTTCTTGGTTGAAAACAGCTGCTGCAACATGGGCAGGGGGCCCTAGAAATGGAGGAATGCTCTTGATGAAAATGAGTCATTCTAAATTAACCTTATCTCCTCCTTTCATAGCCATCTGGGTCGTGTGGGTTCACTTTCTTTGCTTACAAAATCCTTAATTTCTCTCAATTAGTGTAAAACCACGTAATACGTGGTCAGGGGTCACACTTTGGACCACTGAGTGGTGCTCCTGGGACTGTAGCCTGAACTCTACCAAAAAGTGTGTCTGCTAAGAACACAAGGACCAAGTATTTCACAACTTGTGTCTTGGTGCAGGGACTTGAAAATTGGCAAAAGCATTGGTTGCCTTTGTGTAAGGGATGTGCTTTTTGCTGTTTCCATGAAAATCCACCCACATTTGACTGAATTTCAGAGTCTGTCTGAAAATCTGTTTGCATATGCTCTGTAGAGACTTGGTAAGAGTTTTACAGTTAAACTCTCTGAAGATTCAGTCTACTGGGCATTCCCCAGGAGCTGAGCAGGACCTTCCCTGCAATTAAAAGTTGTGGGGAGGTGTTTCTGCACTGAGATATGGGAGACTCTCTCTTAGGGCAAGTCTACACTTAAGACGCTGTCACGGTGCAGCTGTGTTGCTGTAGTGCTTCAGTGAAGATGTACGCCAAGGTAGTTAATCCACCTCCGTGAGAGGCAGTAGCTATGTCGACAGGAAAAGCCCTCCTGTCGACATAGTGCTGTGTACGCCATGGGTTAGGTTCATATAACTGCGTTGCTCAAAGGGGTGGATTTTTCACAGCTCTGAGTGATAGTTATATCCATGACAGTTTATAGTGTAGACCTGGCCTTATGCTTTTGTATTTCCTCTGCTGATACCTGAACAGTGTGGAGAAGAAGAAACAGCCTGATTGAAACAGAGGATGGAGGAATCAAGGCAGGGGGGCAGAGACTGCAGTAGGAAACAGAAAGGCTGTAATGGAATGGGCAGAAGGAGGGGATGGTGAAAAAGGGGCCTGAAACCACTGAATATACTCTTCCAAAGCCTGGAATGGAACCCACCATTGGAGAGTCTCAACGTTCCTCTGCTGTTTAACAAATATCTGTGAAACTCACTGGCACTGTGTCTCATCCCCCTCTAGTGGCTTGACCTCATAAAACAACAAGAGGCAGAATTTGCTGTGGATTCAAAGGTCTCTCCCTTGCTGATGACACAGGTCAGCATGGTTCCATATAAATTCTTCTCCCCCCCACCCCCACCCCCAAAAAAAACTTAGGAAACTACACCTTGAGGTTGCAAAGTCAAGCACTCAAAAGTTAAGAAATACCCGATTTAGTTCTCTATACAACTTTAATTTGCCCACCTTGTGCACATGATCACATACAGGTATTCTTTTTCCACAGGGCCCCTGCCTCAGTACACAGGATGGACCTACTCTGGGAAGGAACCAGGGTTGTGAAGGAGGCTGTGGGCTTGCAGGACCCCTGCCTCATTTGTTGCAGTACTTGGAAGGTACAGGATTAATCAGGCAAGAAATGAGCAAGAGAAAGGATGGTCTTCTGGTTTAGGCAGTTAAGTGACACCTGGATGGTTGGATTCTATCCCTACCTCTGCCAGAGTTCCTATATGATGTCAGGCAGGCCACTTAAACTGCATTTCAGGTGGCCACTGCTTGTGTTTCTCATTAGCCCAGCTTGAGACTTTTGGTTCTGCTTTGCAAAAGTATTCATCATTCACAACCCCACTGAAGCCAGTGCTAACTCTGCTCTGAACATAACGTGCTATAAAAATGCAGAGTCCTTTGAAAAGTCAGGCCAGAAGCACCTCCGTGTAGGAACCCAACATTAGTGGACATGTAACAATTTTGGCCTTAATCTTTCTGTGCCTCATTTTCCCCATGTTTGAAATGGAGATACTTGCCCCCCTCATAGGGGAGTTGAAGATAATGTTTGTGAAGCACTTAAATATTGCAGCAATGAACATCATAGAAAAGTCCATGAGGACATTAATTGCATATGCAGAGCAGGCTTTGGACAAAGTACAGCAGTGGTCACCAACCAGTTGATCGTGATCGACTGGTCGATTCTGGAGCCTCTGACAGTCGATCACTAGAAGTCCAGTGGGGGTAAGGTAGGCTCCCTGCCTGCACTGGCCCCATGCTGCTCCCAGAAATCACCACCCTCACAGCTCCCATTGGCCAGGAATGGGGAACTGCAGCCAGTGGGCGCTGCAGGGGCGGTGCTTGTGGGCAGGAGCAGCACACAGAGCCATGGGCCCCCTCCCCAGTGGCCACAGGGGTATGCTGGCTGCTTCTGGGAGCAGTGTGGGGCCAGGGCAGGCAGGGAGCTGGCCTTAGCCCTACTGCACCGTCGACTGGGAGCTGCTGGAGGTAAGTGCTGTCCCGCACCTCAATTCCCTGCCCCACCCCTGAGCCCCCTCCCAGAGTCTACACTCCACACCCCTTCCTGCACCCCAACACTCTGCCCCAGGCTGGAGCCCCCTCCTGTACCCAAACTCCTTCCCAAAGCTTGCACCCCTCACCCCCTCCTATACCCCAACCTGCTCCGGGCTCAGCCTGGAGCTCCCTCCCACATTCTGAACCCCTTGGCCCCATCCCAGAGCCTGCACCCTAACCCCTCTCCCCAGCCCAGTGAAAGTGACTGAGGGTGGTGGACAGCGAGTGATAGAGGGAGGGGGGAATGGAGTGGGCGGGGCAGGGGTTATTTGGGAAAGCAGTAGGGCCACAGGGAAGGGGAAGGGTAGATCCTGGGTTGCACTTAAATTCAAAAAGCTTTGTGCATGAAAACGACCACTGATGTACTGTAAGTAGGGCCTGGAGCCACATACTATGTGAGGGGGAGCAAACAAAATAGTGAATAGTTGCTCTTTCAATGAGCACTATCCCTCCTTTTGCACTGACTCAGAGAGAGGTCCTACGTTGGGCATGGGGGGAGGGGAAGAGCATGTGCTCAGGTAATTAAAGACTGTTGCAATGAATTTGCACAAGGGGGTTGAATTAGGTTGAACAAGCAAACTTCATTCTGGCATTTCTGATTTTTTTTTGGGGTGCTTGACTTTGCAACCATAATATTTTAAATATTGTTTTCTTTGTATTGTATTGTTTTGTATGTTTGTTTTCTTCCTGCTTTCACCCTCAGTCCCGCTCCCTACCTACCTTTAGTGACGTAGAGATAGAAGAAATCACAGTAGAAGATGGTCTGCACCACCCCAGAAACCACGGCAATCTGGTCATAGAAATTCTCTGCATGGTAGCGCCAGATCCAGTTGGCAAGGTAGAGTGCACGATAGAGACCCAGGAAGAAGAGGTAGTGGGTCGTGATGGTCTCTGCCTCCCCTGTCTTACTGATCATGAAGAGCTGAGGAAGGATGGCCACTGATTCCAGGTAGATGGAGAAAGTCCAGAGGATCTGTGGGAAGAAGGAAACAATTCAGAGGAGAATCTTATGGGCCAATTATTTTCAATAGCCCTCAAAGGCTTCAATTTGGAATCAGAGCCTCATCAGCACAATCAGATGCATGGTACAAACTGTGTCTTCCCCAAAGAGCTTTCAACCTATTTTAAGACCAGAAGCAACCAGTAAGCAAAGCAAATAATAGGGGGAAAGGGAGGATGAGGGGAACAGTGCTACTCTGTTTGCGTAGGCCGACAATGCCCAATTTTGATGGTTCTGAATCATTTAGATCTTGAGGTGGGAGAAGGAGAGTGTTTAAATACATAACTCAGCTGTTCCTACTGGCCCTTTACCTAATCAAATGTGCCCTGTTGAATGCAGGTGCCAGTCTCAATTCATTTCTTTGTGAAGGGGGAGGCTCAATCCTGAAAACCACTATACTCGTTGGTTTTGTTGGTTTCCTTGTTAGTAGTAATAGCTGAAAGACCGAAAATTGGATTGAGTCATGGAGAATGAACCTATAGGTGTAGCACCTCCAGGTCAGGACTGAGCCATGAGTGAGATGAGGCTGCAGAAACTTGAACAGCTGTTTGTATTGTCTGTCAAAGAGTCTGTCTCCAAAGACTGCCAGTCTGGCCCCTTTCTTCACAAAATTTACTTCCATGCTCCATTGATCATGCTAAATCCCAACTAATTTTCACTAAGTGATTATCACCTTCTTTTTTCCCCCTCCTGTCTGTTCCATTTTTATACTTCCTTACCTCTAAGGGGGTAAAGCTGTGGTTCTCCAGAAATGACAGGCCTGTGACAGGGACCAAGAGGAATTCCAGACGGAAGGAGTCATGCTCTCTGTCAAATGTTTTCTGGAACTTCACATAGATCATATACACTGTGATGTAGGCACACACCAAGAAAATGACCTGCAGAGGAGGAAAGTTCTTTTGAAAGACATTTGTCTTACATCCTATTGTCTTCTCCAGTTAAAAGGGACTGACTTGCTTGTTTGCCTAATTGAAGTCCTTCTTTTAAGTTGCTGGTGGTAGGGAAGTTACTGCTCTGGACTGCCCTCTGGAAGACCCAGGATTGATTCCCGTCTCTGCTGCTCTCCCTCCTGGGGATGCTGCAATGGCTAGGCCACGTGACCCTAGGAGTTATTGCTCCTGTACCGCCAGGTCTTTTCTCTTGCTACTTTAGGCTTGACAGGAGGTGTTGGCCTGGTGCTCCAAGGTATTAATACTCCTACTGTGCAGGATGCCCAGGTTTGAATCCCGGTCTCCTGATTCTGGATTTGGTAGGCACTAGTGGGGCAGTGGAATCCACTTGTTGGAGCTGCTGTGATGAGTGGGCTGTTGTCGTTTGTCTCTGGTCATTGGAGGAATAGTCGATCTAAAGGACAGTTTTATCCCTCCCCTGCCAAAGGGATGTTTACTGTAATTTTGGGGGTCTTGTAGGAAGCTCCCTCCAAAATTTAAAATCCCGATTTGGTGAATGTCTATCACAAAGGTGGGCAAACTGCAGGCCACATCCGGCCTGTGGGACCGTCCTGCCTGGCCCCTGAGCTCCCAGCCGGGAGGCTAGCCCTCGGCCCCTCACCTGCTCTTCCCTCTCCCCTGCGCGGGCAACACGGCGGCATGGCTGGCTGTGGCCGGGCAGCGTGGCTGCCAGTCCTGACACTATGAGTGGCATGGTAAAGGTGCGGGGAGCAGGGGAGTTGGATACAGGTCAGGGACTCCCAGGGGGCAGTCAGAGGACAAGGAACAGGGGCGGATGGATAGGGGTGGGGCCCCAGAGGGGAGGTTAGGGGCAGGGGGTCCTGGGAGGGGCTGTTAGGGGACAGGGAGCAGGGGGGGGTTGGATAGGGGCTGGGGTTGCAGAAGCGGGGGCGGCCTGGCTGTTTGGGGGGGGCCTGGCTGTTTGGGGAGGCACAGCCTTTCCTACCTGGCCCTCCATACAGTTTTGCAACCCCAATGTGGCCCTCAGGCCAAAACGTTTGTCCACCTCTGGTCTATCACCTCCCCCAAGTAACTACAATGAGGAACCTATGGGGTTTCTTGCAGTGGGGCTCCTGCAGCGTCTCCCTGCCGTTACCTTCATCACGGTGTTATAGACTGAGATGAAGGTGGTGAACAGGTCAAGATAGCGGGTCGTGAAGACAAGGGTGAAAAGGATCTGGCTCTTCCCGGAGATACCTACACATCAGGGGAAGCAATGGGAGATAAGACAGGTAAGAGAGGAAAGGTTTGAAGACACGGCTGTTGAAAACTCCCCAAGCACATGCCTCCTTATCTTGTATCAAGGTATCTTCTCTGCTAAGTAACAGTTCAGGACAAAAAATCCTTCAGCCTTGTTATCTGGTTCTGTTGGTGTGTTTGTAGGACAATAGCTGTTATACAAAGTGGGTGGTCAGCCACTCCTTCCAGTGAGAGGGATCCCCACCTGCTGCCCCTGTGATACCTGGGAAAGCAGCTACACATGCAGTCAAATTAGTTCACTGAACTAAAATGCAAAACTGATTTGGACAGTAAATAGCTATTGCTATTAATATCCTACCAGATCCATGTCTTCCCTCTCTGCCTAACTAGCATGCTGGAGCTCATGGTTGGCTGGGCCATTCATGGCTCAGTGACTGGCCACTTTGCCCTGACCTATATCTTTCCTGAACTAGAGGAGTGCTCAGAGCATCATTAACCACCTTGTGCTAGATCAGAGCAGTGCAGGGGCAGAGATACATGGAATAAATAGGGAGAAGAGATGGTGGGAGGATTTTGTTGCAATAGAGCCAATGTGTTTAAAACCATTTATCTTGGGATGTTTTAAGTGAGCTTGGCATGGGCAAAACGAGCCAGATTGACAGAACAGGTCTTGCGTGGGCAGTGGCAGTGCAGGATTCCCCTGACACCACCTCACAGGCTTGCCTTGCAGGGCACAGCTCTGGGGTGAGAGGATGGTCCTTTCTCATGCCTCATTCAATCCTGGTTCTTCTGAGCATGCCCTTCTCTCCCCCTCCATCTTGTTCGCACTGGTAATATTTTGTGCAATGTCTGCCTTGGTAGCAAACTGGCTGAGAGATTGGGTCCCAGCCCGCAGATGGTAATAGCTTTCAGTCACCAGTGAACTTGGGGCAAAGTTGAGGTACACTGATGAAGAGGCTGGGGTAGGGAGGGAAACTGGCATTATTTCCACCTATGATGTCCCTGCTGTGAAGGATAATGAAAAAGACTCCAGGTGACGGGGCTCTCAGTTCAGCCTCTTTCCCTATTAGCTCCCATAGCCTAGCACTTGGAGAAGGGGAAAGGACCCTACAGCTGAGTTCTGTTCCCAGCTCGGTCACTGACTCACTTGGTGACCTTGGCCAAATGACTTCATCCCTTTCTGCCTGGGTTTCCTCATTTGTAAAATGAAGATAACCCTCCTTCTTCCCCACAGGGGGTTGAGGCTAAAGGAAAGTTTGTAAAGTGTTTTGAGATGCTGAGAAGGTGCAAAGTATTATTACAGCTCCTCTGCATCATCTGGCCAGCAGATGCGGCCTAAGGGGAGGGACAGCCATTTATCTCCTGTAATGTTACACACCTTTAGCAGGGATGCCTCATAGCCTCTCTTTGTTTCTTTCGCCTGGAAAAGTTTTTACAGCTGCACGCTTGCTAATCCCTCCCTGCCATTCTCCACCCCCAGGAACAGCTCCCATGTTATCGCCACCCCAAGATAAGCACCTGTGCTAAAAGCTGATGCTTTTTGCCACGTCCCAACACCCTCCTCCCAATCACATCCCTGTCCCGCCCTCTGATGGAAATAACGTTGAGCCAGGATGGCTTTGTTGGCCCCTTTGTGTATGTGTGGAAGGGTCCCAGCAGGGCGGCCCACCAAAAAAGTGGGGGTCCCACAAGTGGGGAAGGAGGAGGATGGGGAAGAGGTAGTGAGATGGCAGAGTGGGTGCGATGGAGAGAGTGAGATTTAATTCTCCCTAGAAACCCAGTTAGGGAGGGCACAGAGTGTCACTAACTTGCAAGCCATTGATTTTCCCCACTCACTGCCCCTGCCTCATCTCGTCACGGTCTCTCTCTCACACTCACTCACACACACACACAAATTGTCAGGGAGAAAACTCACCAGCACAGGACTTGGATCTCCAGATCTTGACCAGCAATATGATCATAGCCAGCAAATGGGAGACGTCTCCCAGGATCCGGAATATATTCATTGCTCCAAGAACTTCCCCGTGGCAAATGAATCAGTGCAGTTTTGAAGAGGAGGGAAGGCTTGGGGAGTTCTCTTGGTTTCTCCCAAGAGATTCTCTCTGTTACCTGGTAAAACTCTGCAGTGAATCTTTTCCCTTTCCTGTCCCGGATCAGTTAAACTCTCTCTCCCAATTAAACTTTCTTTCTCTGTGAGTATGGAGTCCCCTGTTCCTGTCTCCTGGCAGATGAGTAAACTCTCTTTCCTAGTATAAAAACTTTCTCCCGTGATATTCTTACCTCCAGAATAAACTGGTCCCCTCACTCCTCCTCCTGGTATATTTAATCTCTGTTCTATCAGACACAATTTCTACCTACTCTATGATCTGCCTACGGCCCTCTTCCTCCCCTGTGTGCCAGTGCAAAGTAGGGGATTGTCCCCCAGAATGTCCCTCCCAGTCTGAGCTTGCTTAGCTGTCCCAGTGCAGGCTGGGTGACGTGGCTGCTGCCTGCATGGGAAGGGCGGAGGAGGAGGGAGAAACTCAGCCGAGTTTCTTTCTTTCTTTTTCCCCACTTGGTCTTCTCAAGTTACAGCCCGAAGTGCCCTTAAAGGGGAAAAGGCACATGGAAATGATCAGCCCTTGTCAGAGGCATGGAGCCTTTAGCGATGGAAGAGATCCAGTAGGTCACATCATGTTCCTGCCCTGGTCTGAGCAGGGCAGGTTGTTTCCTGCAGTATAGTCCCTGAGGCTTTGTTCAGTCCCGTTTTAAAGGCCTGCAGAGGTGGGTCTTGCCTGATTCCCCCCCTCTAACAGACGTTGCAGGTGGGAAATATTTCTTGATATTCATGCATAATCCCCCTTTGCTCAATTTTGTCTCTTTAGTCACTTGTGGGTAGAGTGTTTAGAAGATGACAAGTGCAGTGTTACGTGCCTGGTTGTTTGTTTATTGCATCTCATTGAAACCTCCTGAACTATTTCCTCTCCTGCCCTGGTGCTGCCTCTCCTCATAGAATCACAGGGTTAGAAGGGACCGTAAGGGTCATCTAGTCTAACCTACTGCCAAGATGCAGGATTTGTTGAGTCTAAACCATTCAAGACTGACCGCAATCCAGCCTCCTTTTGAAAACCTCCAGTGAAGGAGCTTCCACAACCTCCCTGGGCAGTCTGTTCCATTGTCCTACTAGGATTACACTTAGGAAGTGTTTCCTGGGTGTGACAGGGTGTGCATACCCCGCACTGGCCAAGAAAAGGTTAACCCATGCTATGGGCGGCGGAAGTCCCACCCCGTAGACTGTGCTGGGCATGCTCCAACTGCTGCCTCAGTATAAAAGGGAGCAGCCCAGCTCATTCTAGGCTGACTGCCGGCGAGGAAGGTCCTTTGGAAAAGGCTCCAGCTGAACAGATGCCACAGTCCTTGCCTGCAGGAGCTGGAGATCCTAAGATTAGGTCTTGAAAAGATCTCTGGCCAACAGAGCTCCAGGGAATTACCTGCGCTGAGGAGCATGGAGACCTCAATGCCCCATGGACTACAGCTTCAGGAAGAATGCTAGGAAGTCACCCAGGGAGGGTGAGCGAGTGGTATCTCCCACCTGCATGAGGTCAGTGTGTTTCAGTAGGATTCCCCCCTGACCAGGTGGTGGACCACTCTGCCACTGTTAGGGCCCTGGATTGGGGCCCAGTGGAGTCGGAAGGCCCATGCCTCCTGGTGCCTGAGGGCCGCTGTAATTGGCTCTGGCCGCTAGGCTGTGCCACTTTCAACACAAGGGAAGTCTGGTAGACTGTAAGCATGGTGGTATCACAACCCCGCCCCACCCCAAAGGAGGACGGGGGGTGTATACCACACGACATTGAGATTTAATCTAAATCTGCTATGCTGTAGTGTGAACCAATGGCCTCTTGTCTTGCTGTCTGTGGCAAGACAGAACAACTTTTCTCCATCTTTTTTCATGGCAGCCTTTCAAGTATTTGAAGACCACCATCATATTCCCCCACTTAATCTCCTCTTTTCCAATCTGAACATACCCAGTTCCTCCAGCCTTTGCTTATATGGCTTGCATTCCATCTCTTTGATCATCTTTGTTGCCTGCCTCTGGGTCCTTTCCAGTTTCTCTCCATCCTTTCTACACATTGGTGACCAAAATTGGACACAGTACTCCAGCTGAGGCCTAACCAACACCGTGTAGAGCGGTACGATCACCTCCCGTGTCTTACATGCTATGCCTCTGTTACTGCAACCTAAAATTGCATTTGCTTTTTTTGCAACAGCAACACATTGCTGACTCATGTTGAGGCTGTGATCTATGACAACTCCCAGATTCTTCTCAGCAGTGTTGCTGCCAAGCCAGATTTTCCCCAGTCTGTATTTGTACATTTGTTTTTTCTTCCCTAAGTGTAGCACTTTACATTTGTCTTTGTTGAATTTCATTTTGTCGTCTATCGCCCAGTTCTCCAATTTATCAAGATCCCTCTGAACTCTAGCAATATCCTCCAAAGTGTTGGCAACCCCCCAGCGTTGTCATCTGCAAATTTGATCAGTATGCTCTCTATTCCTACATCCAGGTTATTAAGAAGGATGTTAAACACCAGACTTGGAACAGATCCCTGAGGAACCCCATGAGACCTCCCTCCAATCTGACATGATGTATTTGCCAGGGCGCTCCCCATTTCTAAATTCAGCACATCACCCCCAAGAGGGTGGGGTGGGATGGAGTTGGGAATAAGTCAGTAAAGAAAGAGATTGTGAGGAACTCTTGCCCTTTGAATAGCTAGGAAATCCTCTAAGGATGCCAGTGGGGAGCATCACAGAAGAGGTCATAGGCTTCCCTCTGCCATTTAACACATCTCTCCATACTCACGCACACAGAGAGCTCCATTTTCTTTTGTAGCTGTGTGAGCATCTGTGTGCACACAGACACAGAGAGCTCTCTCTCCCATATAAAAGCCCCTCCTCCAGACACACCCAGAGCTTCCCGCTCCCTGATGCTAGACCCTCCCACACTCAGCCATACATAGCACTTTTCCCTCCTATACAATATAATAGCCTCTTCCCATGTACACATCTTCCTTCAGTGTGGCAGGCATGGTCGTTAGCACCAAACTGGCCTATCCAATGGGTTGTTTAGCTTTCTCTGAGCTAAGTCAGTGATGTCCCAGCCCCACTGTGGTGTTGTCAGACAAGACCCCTGTGACACATACAGCAATTTCTTGCATATTCTCGGGAGAGCTTATTGAATTAAGTTTGTCTCTTCGGGGTCCATTGCTTTAAATTAGTGGTTCATGTACAATGGTATTCTACTCCCATGGGGAAGGGCTGCCATGGCTCCCCCAGGAACTAAAACCAGTGGGTGGTAATTAAGGCAAATCAGGCAGGTTGTAACCCCACCAGAGAGGTACTACCTCCTGGGGACCCTTACAGGTACTAGTTCAAACTGGATTCTCCAGAGACCAACAGACAACGGATTTTTGGATAAATAGCTCAAGTTTAACTGACTCGGGACTTTCTTTCTGATCCAGCAAACAGACAGGACCTTCTGTCCAAAAGGGCGTGGCCCAATCCTGGATTGGAAGGGTTGACGCTGACCAGAGCCCAAGGTTGGAGTTAGGATGACCCTCTGCTAACCGTTTTAGCATGTGTGTAGGTTCCTTTACTGTTGTTAATACATTTTTCTCTGTGATGCTTCCATCTTAAGAATTAAATGTGCTTGCTTAGAAGGTGCAGTTATCTGAACTATGACAACCCTGCCTATGTTTTCCAGAATGAGTTCAATAGGGTTTATACCCTCCCCCATTTCTATCTTGCTAGTCCTCTCTTTGCCCGCCAACCTCAATTTTCCAGAAGCACAGCCTAGTGTGAACAGGCAGGTTACAATCACATTTCCTTTCGCAAGAGCTTGAACTGACTGGACAGGCAGTGAATGAGGCAGCCACAAGGAATTAAACCCACCCGTGCCCACACAGCATTGAAGTTGGTGGCTTAACTTTTCCCCACTGATGAGCAGCAGAGTATCTGAGCCCACTTTGTTCAGAGATCACCAGTGCCCCCCTGAGAGAAGTCAGATGCTGTCAGCCCCTCAACACACCAGTCGGCCTGTGCTGAAGGAACCAACAGCAGTAGTGAGCTCATCTGCTACTGTCTGGGCTTGGGCCCTTCACTCCAGGGAAGTCATTGAGAAAGACATGGTGGAAAATCTCCAGCATTATCTGCCTGCCTCGGATATTGCGGATCTCTTCCTGCCAGGTTTTAGGTGTGAATGTGCCATCATGGCTGCGCTCTTTGCATTGATAGATCATCTGTGGGGCTCTACTAAATTCATGGGCCATTTTGGTAAATTTCACAGTCATAGGATTTTAAAAATGGTAAATTTCATGATTTCAGCTATTTAAATCTGAAATTTCAGTGTTGTAATTGTAGGGGTCCTGACCCAAAAAGGAGGGGTGGGGGGTCACAAGGTCATTGTAGGGGGGGTTGCGGTGCTGCTACCCTTACTTCTGCGCTGCTGCTGGTGGCGGCGCTGCCTTCAGAGCTGGGCAGCTGGAGAGCAGCAGCTGCCGGCCGGGAGCCCGGCTCTGAAGGCAGCGCCGCCGTCAGCAGCAGCGCAGAAGGAAGGATGGCACGGTGTGGTATTGCCGCCCTTAGTTCTGTGCTGTTGCCTGCAGAGCTGGGCCCTCAGTCAGCAGCCGCCACTCTCTGGCCACCCAGCTCTGAAGGCAGCGGCCCAGTGGTGGCATAGTATGGTACTGCTACCCTTACTTCAGCGCTGCTGCTGGCAGGGTGCTGCCTTCAGAGCTGGGCACCTGGCTAACAGCCACCGCTCTCCGGCTGCCCAGTTCTGGAGGCAGCAAAGAAGTAAGGGTGGCAATACTGTAACCCCCCCCCCAAATAACCTTGCAACCCTTACCCCCCACTTCCCTTTTGGATCAGGACCCTCAATTTGAGACACGCTGCTCTCCCCCGTGAAATCTGTATCGTATAGGATAAAAGCACACAAAAGAGCCGCTTTCATGGGGGGAGACCAGATTTCACAGTCCATGATGCTTTTTTCATGGCCATGAATTTGGTAGGGCCCTGATCATCTGGTCTAGTCATGGCAATGGTTAGAGAACAAAATTAGTTCTGCTAGAGCTTTTGACAGCATTTGGCAGCCCTCGTGGAGAATTGCCCACCCATCTGCAGGACCTGGGGGGCGTAGGTTGTCCGTTTCAGACAGATCCCGGAGAGTCATGGTGCTACAGTAATACAAATAAATAATAACTAATAGCAGCTGCTTCTGTTCCCAGGAATCCATCATCTCATTCAACACCAGTATGAAGCCACAAGGGGAAACTGTCAGAACACACTACAAACTTTAAGATGCCATTAGTGCCCAGTTCTGTGCCCCGTGAACAAACGTGTCCACCCCTGTCCCCCTCGAGAGGCAGTGCCTGTGAGGGGCTGGACGAAGAGCAACTGGCTAAATGCTGACTCAGGCAAGATGGCAATGATATCATTGGAAAGGGAAAACACTGTGGATCTGGCTAAAAAGGGTTCTCATTCCTGCATTGAGTGTGGCTGACCTCTAGTGAAATTATTATGCAGTTTCAGGGTCCTGCTCCTCTCCACGCTTCTCCCAGATGCTCAGCAAATTGGCAAGAAGTGTCTAGTATCACCTCTGACTAGCTGAATCGCTCTGCCTATTCCAGTCCAATGCAGACTAGCAACAGTGACTCATGCCTTTGTCTCCCCCGTTGTAACACACTCCATCTTGGACTGACACTAAAGGTATTGGGCTTTCCTCCCATCAGACCTTCACACCCTGAGGTGGTGCCAAATTCTGGGTCCATTTCAAGGTCCTTTTTCTTAGGCACTGTTTTCTCAATGACTGCCTCTCTACCTGCTCCGCTATATTCTGCGGGCTCATTTTGGTCGACAGAAACCATGTTGGAGCTTGTGATGTGGGAAGCAGGGCATTCTCAGGGGAAGGAGTACATTTATGTGACTCAGTGATGCCCTACAGAATACTGATCTTGAATATCTCTACCTTTAAAT